CAGAGTGTGAGTGGGGGAGGGGCAGAGAGGGAGACACAGAATCAAAAGAGCAGGCTCCAGGTTCTGAGCTGTCAGCATAGAGCCCGACGCGGGGCTCAAACTCACGAACTGCAAGATCATGACCTGAGCTGAAGTCGGACGCTTAACCGACTGAGCCACCCAGGTGCCCCAAGAATTGGCATTTCTAAGAAGTTCCTTGAGGATGCTGGTCAGGAATCCCATTCTGAGAACCACTAGCTTAGAGGCAGTTCATGGATGAGGTGATGTTTGAGCTGATACCTAAGGTATGAGCAAGAGTTAACTAGGTGGGTGGAGAAGGGCATGTCAGGGAGCAGCATGTGCAAAGGCCCTGGGGCAAAGGGAACATGGGACACTGGAAGAAAAAAAGGAAGACCAGTGTGGCTGATGCCTAAAGGAGAAAGGGATAGTAGGTCTTGATCTTAGGAAAGTGAAGGGCCACTGAGTGCTTCGGGTGGCTATAGATGGGCTTTCCAGCAAGTTCTTTGGGCTGCTGTGTACGAAACAGACCCTGTGGTAGCAAGAGGGAGTGGAAGAAGATCTATTAGGTTGTTAATGTAATTGTCCAGGTGACAAATCTGGTGACAGGGAAGATAGAACATGATGGATTTGAGAAGTGTTTAGAGGAAGACTGGGGTGTTTGGTGATGGATAGGCTCTGGAGAGGTGAGGCACAGTGTCCCAACTACCTGCTGCTACATAATAAACCACCCCCAAATTAATGGCTTAAAACAGCAATAATCATCTATTTTGCTCACAGATCTACAATTCAGGCCATGCTCAATAGGGACAGCTCACCTCTGCTCCAAAGTGCTGTCAGTTGGAGTGGCTTACAGGCTGGGGCTGGAGTCATCTGCTCACTCAGTGGGGCAGCTGATGCTGGCTGTCAGCTGGAACCTCAGCTGGGAGTGTTGGCTGGGACAGCTCTATGTACCTCTCCATGTGGCCACTTGGCCTCCTCACAGCATGGTGGCTAGGTTCCCAGAAGCGGCATCCCAAGAGATGGGAAGCAGAGGCTGCCAGTTCCTTAAGGCCTGGGCCCAAAGCCTGGCACATCATGTCCGCTGTATTCTATTAGTGTCCCAGGGCCCACATTCAAAGACAGGGACATAATCCCACCTCCCAATTGGAAGAGTATCAAAGAATTTTGGACAGAGAATGCACTGGAGGAGGGCCAGGCTTGGGGAAAGATCATGAATCTAGATCTGATGGAGAAAAGGGGAGAAAGGACCCTCTTCAAGTGCCAGACATGGTCTTAGCTGCCTTAGAGTCCTGGCCTAGAGCCTGGCATGGAACGGCCCTGCCAGCCACCGTACCCCTTCCCACCATGTTCCACATTTTCCAGCATGGGGCAGCTCATGGAGTCTGGAGTTAGGTGACTAAGACCCCAGAAGCAACCCCCCTGGTCCCATGGGGTCCTATGGGTTGAACAAGCTGGGGCTCTTGAACCCCAATCCTACCATACCGTTCCTGAAATGTCTTGAATTTGCCCATTCCTCTTACTTCCCACTGTCCCAGCTCCAGGCAAGCCCTGCCATCTCTGGCCTCGGCCACTGCCCAAATCTCTCCTAACATTCTCCTTGCTCCTACTTTCCACCTCCCTATAGAACATTCTCCACTTGCCTCAGAGGGCTCATTTTAAATATTAATCTGATCACTTAAATCCTCTGTTTAAAACCCTCCAGGACACCCAGGGTGTGATCCAAAGTCCAGGTTCTGGGCCTGCTATTTTCTGCATGATCCAGCCTCACAGTACCTCAAGCACACTGATCCTCCAACAGGCCAGATTTGCTCCTGCCTCAGGGCCTTTGCACTTGCCATGTCTCTTCCAACTCTTTGTGTGACTGACTTCTCTTTGTCCTTCAGGGCTTGGCTCAAATGTCGTCTTTTTTTTTTTTAAGCTTATTTTTATTTATTTTGAGAGAGATATAGAGAGCAAGCAGGGGAGGGGAAGAGAGAGAGGGAGACAGAATACCAAGCAGGCTCCATGCCCTGTCAGCACAGAGCCCGTTATGGGGTTTGAACTCACAAACTATGAGATCCTGACCTGAGCCAAAATCAAGAATCGGATGCTTGACTGAACCATCCAGGCTCCCCTCAAATGTCACCTTCTTAGAGAGGTCCTCCCTGACCACCTTATCTAAAGTAGACCACTCTCCATAGCATAATTTACGGAGTTGTTAAGTCACTATGTTGTACACCTGAAACTAATTAACATTTTGTGTCAACTAGACTTCAATAAAAAATAAAGTAGACCATTCTCCCCCATGCAGTCTTTAACTCATCACTGTTTTATTTCCTTTTTAGCCCTTAGCATCGCTCATTCATTCTGTCAGCTATCCGGTCAACAAATACCGACTTAGCAGTTACTTTGTGTCAGGCACTGTTTTAGGCCCTGGGGAACACAGATGTGAACGAAATTGATGGGTCCTCCTGCTTCACAAGGCCCTGGGACTAAGCCCTTGGACTTCATCACTGCTCTGTCAGCCCTTGCCATTTCGTGATCTCCTCCAGTCATGGGCATCAAACGTCACATATACAATATACCCCTGGTCCTACGTGAAATCCAGAAGAGCACATCCAACAGCCTGTTCACAGCTCCACCCAAGTATCTAATGTGCATCTGTCTCAGGCTTATTGTATCCAAAGTGCAATTCCTGGGGTGCCTGGCTGGCTCAGTCGGTTAAGCGTCTGACTTTGGCTCAGGTCACGATCTTGTGGTTTGTAGGTGTGAGCCGTGTGTCAGGCTCCGTGCTGACAGCTCAGAGCCTGGAGCCTGCTTCGGATTCTGTGTCTCCCTCTCTCTCTGCCCCTCCCCTGCTCGTGCTCTGTCTCTCTCTCTGTCTCTCTCTCAAATAAATAAACATTAAAAAAAAAATTAAAAAAAACCAAAGTGCAATTCCTGACTTTCTTCTGTCTCCTGTCCCCAGACCTGCTCCTCCTATCATCTTCTCCATCCTCCCAATTGCTCATCCAAAAATTCTGGAATGATCCTGGACTCCTCTCTTTCTAGCTCATCAGCACATCACTATGTCCAGCTCTACTTTTTTAATGTTTTTATTTATTTTTGAGAAAGAGAGAACAAGCAGAGTAAGGGCAGAAAGGGAGGGGGACAGAAGATCCAAAGTAGGCTCCCCACAGAAAGCAGCAAGCTTGATCCAGGGCTCAAACTCACGAACTGTCACCAACCGGGAGATCATGACCTGAGCAGAAGGCGGTCACTCAACCGACTGAGCCACCCTGGCGCCCCAGCTCTACTTTAAAACATATCCAGGATCTAGCCACTTTCATCCACCTCCCGTCACCCCAGCCCAAGTGGCTGTCATCTTCCCTGTATTATGGTGATGGCATCTGAACTGGCCCCCACCGGCCTTTGCCTAGGAGCAATCTGCTCCCTACACAGCAGCCGTTAAAAATGAAAGGGGTGCCTAGGTGGCTCATGGCTCGGTCAGTTAAGTGACTGACTCTTGATTTTGGCTCAGGCCATGATCCCAGGGTTGTAGGATCGAGTTCTGCGTTGGGCTTGTGCTGAATGCAGAGCTTGCTTATGATTCTCTCTCTCTCTC